TAATGTTAGACCTGTTATTACCATCTTTTTAGTCTTAGGTTTGGATCTAAATGTAATAATAATGACAGAAATTGAGCATTGTACATCTAAACTAGACCTTAGATTTGAGTGCATAGATTGAAAGCACCTTGTATTGAATGTACCCAGATCTAGATATAACCCTGCTTCATCAATTTTAGATGTAGATTTATTAGGCCTAACTTTTAAAACAAATGTTACATCTAGATCTATTAACTTATTTATTAGATCTGTCCCAGCACACTGCCCAGTTTAATAGTTAGTATAGTTCTAAGTATGCCTATAATATAGGCTACAATTTGTATGATGATGGACCTAGGGTCTAGAAATAAAGTTATAACTGCAATTAGACCTAAAGTCTAATACATGAATTGGTGTAAGACATGACTTACAATCAGCCTATACAATTACAAAGCACTACATTAGGCCTATAATGTTTACTAGATCTAGATCTAAACCTTGCCTGTTGCATATATTGCCAATCTTGCACACCAGTTAATATGTTACATCAATCTCGAATTTTCTTTTTGTTGAACATACACTTACTTGTACGTTGTACTCTAGGACTTGTATTTGATCTACAGATGAATGATGGAATAGCGTAATTTACTTCTGTACGTCAATTCGATCTCACTGTATTTCAGTGGGCAGCTTTTTTAAGGTTAAAACTGCAAGTGTAATACACACAAATAACGTAACACTGTGTCGTATTTACTTAATGTAGGGCAGTTGCGCTATATCCTCAGGGAGGGCATGATTATTAGTTAATAGGCATTACAGGCCAGAGGAAATTTTGCGCCACTTCACACCTGCGCCCGGGGGCGACTGCCCCCTTGCCCCCTCTTGCTACTCTACTGCTAGACTGTACTATGGACACTTTAATCAAGTAACTAATTTGCTGCCTTTTATGCTTTGAATGTTCTGCTGAATAAAATTACTAGACCATGGATATACTGAATTATTATTATAGCTACTGTGTTTTATTTGAATTTGTTTATTTTTCTCTTCATTATAGTGTGTGTGTATATATATTAGGTCCTCAAGAAATTAATGTCGCTTTATTTAGATGAAAAAACCCGACAACTTATATATCAAAACAAAACATTTATTAAATGAGGTTGGCACCAGTCTTATCGATGGTGCTTTTCCATCTTACAATCACGTTGTTG